CGTGATTGCAATTAACGTTCAGAAGCAACTTAAAAAAGAAACAACCAAATGAAAGAATCTTATTCTCAAAGAAGTGCCAAATATCGTTGTCTGAACTTTAAGTGGTAAAACATCAGGGAAATATTCATTCGCAAGTTTTTAGACACATAAGTTAAAGTTAAATTTTAAATTAAGGAAATCTACTTACTCTTTGGCTTGCCACACACCACACCAGCATCCTCTCCGTGACCACAATTATGAGAACGCCACCCGTTGTGTTGGCAATGAAAAAGTGATTCTTCGTGTCCCTGACAATGGACATTATCGAGAAGTATTGGACCACTGCCTTTACCAAACGCTGCACAGCATAGAGAGCTTGCTGCATTTGGGAGTCCCAGAGAACGACACACAACATTAGCATCGTTGAGATCCCAACTGTCATCACAGACTGTTCCCCATGTTCCATTGTACAAGATTTCTACACGCCCTTCGTTGGGGGATTTTCCACCAGACAGGCGTATGCTGCCTGTTTTAAGAAAAAGAAGTTTTAATTTTTGTAATTTCAATTTTCCACTTTAGAAACAAACTATGGTCTTTGCAAAGCCTTGTGCAAAACCACACAGCAGATTATCGTTCTAGTACAGTATCACATTCTAATTATACATGCTAATAAGTACTTCAAGAGATAATTGTAATGATAATCATTGTAAACTCAACGCTTGTGGATCGCAAACACAGAATGGACAAGAAAAAATTAACTATTGATTAAATAAAAATAAGTCTCATATCATAAAAGTAAAACCTGGAAATCATAGTTTGATTTTATTTGGATTCTTGTTCGCCTGACTACTTCTTGCAATTGAAAAAGGAGTTTACAGTCAAATTCGTCATATGGATGATAGTAAATTTGCAAAGTTTCGTAGAGATTGCTCTGAAACTGAGGAAGATATGAATTTTTGAAACCAAGCATTTTTACAAAGTAATGTATGCTACCGGGCATGGCGTTGACCGGTAAGCCTCGTTTTCGTGTATTCCACATACATTTCCTTACAAAAATTTCACAAATATTCTTGGATTCAAAATTTTATAGACCAAATTCAAAACTCGCACCGATGTGAGGCTTAAGTTGTGAACAAAGGAATCTGGCGTGATTCAAAAGTCGCGAATCACGCCAGATTCCTTTGTTCACAACTTAAGCCTCACATCGGTGCGAGTTTTGAATTTGGTCTATATCCTCGGCAGTTTCATTGTATAATAATGTACGCACTACGGAACAATAATACGAGTTAGTTAAAATGCCACGGAGTTTGGTTGGTAACTAATGCTAACAAACCTGTGGCCCTAACACCCAATCATTGTTATGTACCGCTATTTGGGAGGGGGTATTTTGGAACATTTTTAGGTGTATTTTTCTTTCAGAACTTGGGAACACTTATTTTTCCCACGTCAAATTTATTCCAAAGTGTACCCCTTTTCAATGTGTTTGTTGTTGTTGTTGTTGTTGTTGTGGTTTTTCTCGCGCAATGCGTCGATTGGTCTCGCAGTGCCGTAGCATTGGCATGACGTTGCCCACGCCGTATTCATGCCATGGTTCGGTCATTTGATTGGATGGAGAGCAAATTTTCGTGTAATGTGATCGGTCTGGCGTATGCCTTGCTATGTCACGACCGTTTTTCACAGTCATACGAAAACTGCTCTATATCTTTTAACCAGTGAAGTGGAATGAGACCCGATTCGTAGAACTATTTGTAACAGGAGAAAATAGCGTTGCGTTAATGACGTCACTAAGTTTTAATAGGCTCCATCTAAAATTACTGTGACAACAACTAACTTGACCTAAAGACTCGTGGCGTCTGACGAAATAAATATGTTTATTTCAAGAACCGTGAACATGGCCAAATAAGCGACATAAATTCGTTTGGAAATATGTTTAAATGGTTATTTGTTTTTCGCTAACCGTTCTGAAGTTCTCAGCGATCTCTCCATTATTGAATATATTCTTCAAATATAGTTTTCTTAAATATTCAAACCAGTGAAGTGAAATGAAACTCGGTTAGTAAAAGGATTCAAAACTTTAGCGAAAAGTATTTACGGCCAAAGTTACCAGCTCTAATACCGCGTAAAATTTAACGACATATTCATGTATATGCCTTATTAACTAAAAACTGAAAGCCTTATTTTCATTTAGGCTCTACTAACCCACGCGATTGAAGCCAGAATACTGCCAACTGAGTAGCTGTATTAATACTGATTAATATCTGAATTACAAACCTAGAAATATTCTTTTACTGCTCAATCATATTACTTCTAAAGCCCGGAATAACATAACATAAGCCATTAATCTATGAACACGTCATTCAAATCCATATATGGGTACTCTTGAGCAAGAATGTACTTTTCGCGAGACGGTGAAGACAATAAAAAAACCAAAGGCATTTTACGACTGGGCTGCCACACGCAACCCTGGGCCAGTAATTAAATGGCTTAGCTCTGAAAGTGTAAGAAGAATTGATCCAAGAATATCCAAGTTACAAGGGTTACGAGATTGGTCTTACAAAATTTTCCATCTCAAGGAAAATAGATAATCGTTCTTGCGATTTTTTGTTTATAGTTCACTCAACAAAATTTCAGTAAAAAATGCGAAGCGACGCCGTTCATCTTTGTCTATTTGGCGGCCGTTTTTCAGTCCATCGCGCAACTGAAATGCATAAAAAAGATTAGTTTTTACGGCTTTAAAATTTTATTTATATGTTTTTAAGTACAAAATGATAGAAAATAATTGTTTTGACATATTTTTGGCCATGTTGCCGTAGCGACTTAATTCGGTACTCCTACGGAGTACAATTAACACTATAATTGCACTCCTCTCAACCAATCAGAGTCGAGTAATTTCGTTGAGTGTACTATAAGCAATAATACAACGAAACTTCACAGAGGTCGAATAGATATTCTTCATACCGGACGTTGTTGACGTGTTGCTGATTTAACAATATAATAAATTAATAGAATTATTTAATTGTTAAATCAGTGTTCTTGAGCGTTATTTAATTTCGAGGGCACCTATCCAAATTTTTATCTTTTTTTTACGGATTGTATGCAATTTAAGAAATTTTCTTCATTTCTCAATTTTTTTCAGATATTTGAGACTTTTTAAACATTATTTCCTCTATGCAAGATACTTTT